TGGATCATTTATATATTGTAGTACTATGACGATTCTTATATTGAAGAATTCAGGAATGCAGAAATAAATGAGGTAATTGAAGGATGGTGTCAATACATTTCGACCTTTCATTTCACTTTGAAATGATTTTTACTGTTCAATTTTAATTAATTTTTAAATTTGATATTAAATCTAAATTATTTAGAGTATATCTAGATTATATGTAAAAATTATAAAAAAATTTAATATTAAATTGAGTCATCAAAATTATATTTAAACTATTCAGAATACATTTAGATAATTAAATAATAAAAATTATAAAAATTTTTAATATTAATTAGATATTTTAAATTAAATTTGTACTAGTGAGATTGATAAGAAACAAGTTGATTAAATTTTTTAATATCTTTTATAAATTATTTCAAAGATAATGAGTATCATGATGCTAATTCATGGATGAGTACAGAAGACAATTTAGATTTAATATCAGAAATTTTTATAATTTTTATATTAATAAATGTAATATTTAAAAATTAATTTAAACTAAATAATAGATATGATTTAAGAATAACATGAAAAACCAAAATTTGACCACATTTGATGAGCACTTGATAGGAAGGAGTTGCTCTGTGTTTATGTAGTCAGTTATGTGGCGGAGGGAGATCGCAGTCCTGAGCACTGTCATGATTTCCCACTCACTTCGAATAGAATATACCCACACACTGCAGCTGCGATGCTCCGCATATTCCTTCCATATTCTTCCTTCTTTTTAGCCTCCTTCGTACCTTTCTCCATCTTTTTGTTATTTTATTTGATTATTAATATTAATATTTATTTAATAATTTAATTCTTAAATATCTTGGTCACTCTGTATTTCACTCTACCTTTCTCCCTCCATTGTGCGACCTGCATGCCACTTGTATATTCGTTACTCAATATCTTCCACTTTCCATTAATAGTATTAGCAGCTATAAAGTATAAAGAATGCATTTAGTGCTTATTTTATCGAACAATTATCAAAACGTCGTCGTTTTAATATTGCTAAATGCTGAATGCTCCGTTTCAACAAATTAAAGACACATAACGACGAGGACGAGGACGAGGAGGATTTGAAGTTTGCGATTACTCTTGTTATTACTTATTACTAGGTTGTTAGAACATTCAACCTTTTAAAGTATTCAACATGTCAAGGGGGTAATGGCGATCATAATTATGGTTATTTGTTAGTATTGCTATTTAATTACTACTATTTAATCCTAAAAAAAATCCTTATATTTAATGTTGCAAGTGATCTTAATGATTATGAGATCGGAACTAAAGCCATGTCCATGCATCATAATTATTTGGCAATGACCCTATTAATAGATATTAACTAAGTTGGTCAGATTAATCTATTCAACTTAGACTAACCCACCGCTTTTTGTGGCCTAAAAAGAAATTAGACTAACCCACATTCAACTTGATTCAACTTGATCATCAAAATTCAGGAAAAAAAAAAAACAAAGTACAAATCCATATACTTTTAGACATAGAATGAGAAGAACAAAAAGACCCATACACAATGAATGGTCTGGCGTCTGGCCCAAAAAAAAAAATCACACTGTTCAAATGATAATATTAGTTTTTTTTTTTAACCAAATAGTAGCACTACTGAAATAAATTTTTGTCTTATAATTAATATTATGCGAGGAATTAGTAAATAATCAGAGAGCATCGGCCATAGAAATAATGTGGCTTGGTTAAAAAGCGGTGGATATGAAAAGGTATTATTATTTTAAGGGAAGGCACATGAAAGGGAATATTATAAGATGGTGGTTGATAATTATCAGCTCGTTTCAGTAGGGCCCTCCATTTTAAAGCCTTGTATATTTCTAACCGTTGAACGTGTTGGTTGGATGTCAACAATGTTTTTTATTCTCACTATTAAGTATTAACGGCCTCTAATTTCCCTCTTAATTTAAAATTCATTCTCACTGTTACTGTTGTCATCAATTTAATTTTATTCAAGGAGTCATAATATGTTATATTAAACAAGATTTAGCTTTACCAATATTATTTTTTATCTAAAAACAATTGTGTCTTTTTATATATAAAAAACAATTATATTTAAAATACGTACAATGGATTGTTAAATATGAATTTCTTTTTTTAAAGAAAATTTAAATTTAAATTTATTGTTTTTGTGACAAATCAGTCACTTCTATTGGATTCAACCCAATTGAAGGTAATAATATTACTTTTTATTCATAATTAGGTTTTGAATTAAATGAAAAGGAAAAGCTTCTTTAAAACGTTAATTGTGAAGCCTTTAATTAATCACCTTGCAGTCCGTTGGATTGAGCCTTGAATGTTAACATGTTCTTCAAATATCGACAAGAAATTGACAAGCTTTACCCGTAACCCATTTTACAGGGTGTTTTGGGGGGGGGGGGTAGTTGATGACTTTAATTAATTTATTTGCGTATTTTTTTAAAAAATAAACATACATTTATCTGATATGTTTTGATGTCATGTACGTCATGATATGTATCATATGTTCTATCATTTGTATTAATTACTTTATTTTCTTGTCGAAATGCTTTTATCACATAAAAACTTTTTAAAAATTAATATTTTGGTTAATTAACATAAAATTATTTTATTACTTGCTTAAAACTAAATATCCTGTAGCTATCTTCTAAAATTTGAAATATATAACATATATGTTTTCAAATCCATACCATAAATCATAAAATTTGATGAATTATTATGTTCAATTTATCATGTTATATCATATCTAATACCCGTATCGATATAAATGTTTCTTATATTTAAATCTTGTTCATGAATCCAAGTATATAACTTGATAATGTTGAAGTAAAGATTGGAATGAAATCATTATTCTAGCTATCCATTTGATTACATACTAAAATTAATCTAAATTAGAGTGTTACCTCGTGCATTGTATGGATGTATCTTAGATCATTTGCTTGCATAATCTAATAAGTATGGGAATCATTAATGTGATGAATTACGGTTATCATTATCAATAAATCAATCGAATAGAAATTTTTTAACAGTTAATGCGAATAAACAAAAAACATGTCATCCAATAATGCAAATCATATCTACTAAATTCTACCATTATCTAAAAGCCCTGAGTTCCTATAAAAATGATAACATTTAGTAGATATATCATGTTAGATAACTTTTTAATTAAAAATTTCAGCATGTTATATAATATCATGTTATATAAACTTTTTAATTAAAAATTTTATCCAATCAATAATAGTGGATTAAAATTACTTTTTTATTGTTTATAGGTATCCTTTTATTAAAGACAATTTTGTTTGATGTACGATCAACTATTAAATGTGAACACTTCTTTAGATAAAGATTTGAATATTGATTTATCATATTGTGATGAATTAACTCTTTTCATTAGATCAAATATTGGTTGATAGTAGGTTAAAAGTATTAACATAATAACTAAATAATAATATGAATATGTACTTATATCTTATTCATAAAATAAACACATACACAAATAACTTTTTTAATATGATATTAATGACAACTAAATCTAAATTTAAAATGAATAAATAAGGTGTATTCTCCTCTTCACCATATTTTGGTGGGAATGCAGGTGAAGATATTGAATGCCAGTAAAGAATAGAGAGAAGAGATCGGGTGAATTTATTAAAATTTTTTTTAAAGAAAATTTATTCAAAGTTCAAATTTTATATATGAGGAAACTGTTTTCACTTTTCACTTTATATCCTGTTTCCTCGCGCCGCAATACCCAAACAATACCAGCTGGGTTTTAAATAATAATAATAATAATAATATAAATAATATAAATAAATAAATAATAAAAAATACCAGCTGGGTTCCGAGGCCGCATCTCCTCCCTCTTCATTCCTCTTTCTTCCCAGTAAAAGGGGGGAAACACTTTGTTTTTTCATGTTTACATTTGAATGATAATACTATAAGATATGTTATAAAAGTATCGCTTAGTTTAAAATATATGATATTAAATATATTCTATATTTTTTGTTAATTATACTTTTATTTTATTATATTTTATTCAAGTAATTAATGAAAATATCTTAAATAAATTAAATATTATATTTATTTCATTTAGAAATATGATTGGACAGATATAAATGTTTTTAAAAATTATAATTTTAATTAATTTTTTAAAAGTATAAATTAATTAATAATAACTTATACTTTACTTCAAAAGAGATATAAGATACTCTCATTCGCCTTAATCACTCCACTAGCATTATGGAAAAGTGATTAAGGGTCCATTTATTTAACTTATTTCATGATAGCAATCACTTATTTTTAAAAAAAATTATTTTTGAAATTGTGAGAATAAATTTTTTTTGTATTATTTTAAGAAGCTACTTTGAATAGATTTTAAAAATAATCTAACGTGATTGATGAGAAAGAGAATTTTAAAAAGGCAAGATATATAAAGAGCATAAAATTTTAAAATAATATAATAATAAATTACTTTTATAAATGAAAAATCAAGAAAAATCATAAAATTTAAAAATAATTAATTAATAATTTTTTTATTATTATAATAAATATAAAATAATTTTTCTTTTTATAAAATCCCAACAAAAATTTTTTTATAAAATTTTCAAACTATCTAAAAATAATTTATTTTCAATCTTAAACAAACCGACCTAAATAATTTTTTTTTGAACAAAAAACGGACCTAAATACTTATATCATTAATTTTATCTAAAAATCTAATAAATTTTTTATTTTATTCATATTTAAATAAATTTTTTATAATTAATAATTTTAAATAAGAATAATATTAAAAAACTTAATTAAAAACTAATAAAAACGATACTATGGAAAATGTCTATAATAAACTCAAGATTGATAGCTGTTATTTTTTTTTTTTTAAAATAAAATTTAACTTTTTGATGATCGAATCCAAAACGAGACTACGAACAAGTTCTCTTTCTTCCCTCCCTCGTCGTCACGCCGCTTTCTTTCCGTCTTCTCTTGGGCGTCCCGCGTCCCTCTTGAATTCTATATATACAGCCCCTCTCTTTCACTCCGATTGTCTCCACCATCTACTTCTGCATTCCCATCGCTTTAACTGCTTCACACCATTCTCATTCTCTCTCTCTCTCTCTCTCTGCAACTTTTTCGACTGTCAAGGTACTTTGGAATATCCTCTGCGATCCCAATCTCTCTCTCTCTTTATTATTATAAAATACTCTCTGACTGTTTTCTTTACTATTTTCTTCTTTTTTTTTTTTGGATTTTAATAATAGAAATATGAAAGTGGAAGAACTCCAATTCGAATTCAATCATCACCTCCACCACCAGCAGCGGCGGAGTAAAGAGAAGACCCAATTGGGTGTTGCCGAACTCTCGTCGCCTATCTTCTCTGCCGACGATAGTGGCTGTTTTGAGGAGGTCAATGACGGCGAAGCCGAAGATTGTTTCGTCCAGCCCATCAATTTCGCGATGGTAGATAACGGCATTTTCCGGTCCGGCTTCCCTCGCCCTGCCAACTTCTCCTTCCTCAAATCCCTCGGTCTCCGCTCCATCGTGTATCCACTGGACCCTGTGAATGGATTCTTTGTTGTTTCTCTTCCTTCTTTACGGAAAAAAATTTCGAATCCTTCGTCCTGTCTCTGGTGCCACTGAGCCTTTCTGTGCTGAATTTGTTTGAATGTTTCAGATATCTCTGTCCCGAGCCGTATCCGGAGGAAAGCTTGGACTTCTTGAAGTCAAATGGGATCAAGCTTCATCAATTTGGGATTGACGGTCGAAAGGTATGTAGCTCTTGAAGTTTGTGTTATGCTATGGCAGTAAATTTGTCCTTCTGAATTTTCTTTTTGGATGGTCTCTTTTGATTCTGATTGTCATATATCTGATTGTTTTGGATAACTTGCACAAAGATTAATGAATATCTAACACAATTGACCTGTCACTCTCATCTTTTATTTCGTGCGATTTTTTCTGGAAGTGGCCATGGATATAAACTGGCTACCGAGAATTATTGGATGTACACTATCATATATTTACGGGTCGCCATGTTCTGTTATATTATTACATGATTTTTATTAATGATTAGATTTGGTTCTATCATAATTTGAGCACAGGTAGTCGAACATGGTTCTCTCCTTATCTGCACTTCAATTCTGTAGATCAGTTTTCGACAATGAAATCAATGTAGAAGGAACCCAATTTGGCAGGTGAAGCCTTTTCCTTGGGGATAAAAGGCTTTGACATTCGCTTGTCAATGGAATAATAAATGACTTAGAGATTATAGATTATAATTTTGTTGTCTGCACAATGGGTCTATTGATGGGTTTGTCGGCAAGTTTTTCTCTTCGAGCATCATAAACTTTCCCCTTTATAATGCAAATATAACCATATGCAAGACAAGGAGGTGATGGAGAAGAGAAAAGTACTTATAAATACGGGGGGGGGGGGGGGTTTGAGAAATCGTAATATAACAGCCGTCATCGTATAAAATCATTAATTCCCTGATCCAGTATACTACTGGCTGACTATTGAAGTTTTGGACATGACTTAGCCTGCCTATTGCAGAGCATTTCATTTTTATTTAAAAAAAAAATTATCCTGAAGATGTTCCGCAAATTGTGTGTTGGATTGCATGCGTTCACTTTCATCATTATTATATTCATATTTAGTTCTCACTAGCAACACTTGCTGGCTAAAAAAATATATTTTGTTAGTGCATTGCATTCCTTTGCTTGATAAGACTGAGATCAAATCTTTTACTCATCACATCCCTCTATCACACGTGTGTATTTAGCTATTTATTAAATTTCAACATACTTTATCTGAAATGTGTCGTGGTTATGGACCCAAGTACTAATATGAGAGAACGCTTAACATCCATAGATGTTTTTTCATGTGGTTATATTAATGGTGAAGAAACCGTGTTTGGAATTAAACATTCTTAAAAAATATTTGTCCTGCAAGTTCCAAGATCCAATGCACCCGGCCTTGAGGCCCACAAAGGTTTAGTTTCCACTTGTTCATTTTGTTTCTGTTCTTAGACATTATAGATAAGTGGATTTGAGCCACGCTTGTGGAGATTTTTGTTGGATTGGATTGGTGATTGGCTGATAGCATATTATAGGCTATAGAGAGTACTTGACTACTTATGAATTATAGAACTTCCAGGTCCCTATTTCATGAACTTGTATTTGGACAATAAATCATGAAACCTAACATATGCATAAGAAAACCAGAACAGGCAACTATCTGCTTTTTTTTTTGGCCCCCTCAATGAACGTCAAATGATATATTAATTGCTTATCTTCTCTTTCGGTGTTGATTAGATTTGAGAAGAATAATGTTCCCCCCACTATCTCTGGCAATTTTTTCATTTATAATAATAACAATAACAATAATGATAATGATGATGATGATAATAATAATAATAATAGTCTGTCTTCTATGTTTTTCATCTGAGCTTTTTTCCTCTTTAGCTCATCTTGTATATCACCTACCAATGTGTTTTTACTTTGGTTGAAGACTCAGGACTTGTTTGTTTATTATTTTAATATTTTTTATTTTCTGTTTACTCATAATTACAATGTTTGGTGTTCGTCTTTTTAATAGAACTATGAATAAATGATACAAGACAAGTCTTCTGCATTTGGGTCTAATGCCAGCGTGGTCACTCTTTCTATAATCCATTCTCTGTTATATTGGGTCTATGGAAAATTAGTGGACCAGATTATCATGAATAAAATATATAAGCATGTCACCAAGGGGTTGGGTTTAGTGGAAGAGGCTAGTCCCTCATAATGTAGCCAACTAAGGTTTGAATCCTTATCTAGAGAGATACTCACATCTAATATTTGACTGTGTCTTGAACAAAATTGTTTTTAATTGGAAGATACTTGCGAGCATTAAAAAAAAAAAAAAAGCATGTTAGAGCTGTTTGAAGAAGCCCGTTTGACTTGCTTTAAAAGTTAATTATTAAGCAGATTTAATATTTTCTTTGTGCCTAACAGAATTTCTGTGTGTATTGCTTGGTGAAATGACCATATACTGTTTTTCTTGTTTACAGATGAGGAATGACACTTATGTTTTAAGTTGAGATAACAACTTAATTTATTATGAAATAATGGTCCATATAAACTGACACTGAGAATTGTGCATCCAGGAGCCTTTTGTAACCATCCCAGAGGACACAATATGTCAAGCACTAAGAGTTGTCCTCGGTAATATATCATAACTCGGCCCATTTCTTTCACACTTCATCTTTCGCTTTAGCTGCAGTTTCATTATCTATAAACTTCGTCATCTATAATGCAGATGAGAAGAACCACCCAGTTTTAATTCACTGTAAACGGGGCAAGGTTAGAATTAACTCTATTTATTCCACCCATCATTTTTAATTTTATGGAATAGTCTATGGGACCCATAATGTACTGGTGCCTGCCTAGTTGGCATAGATGAGACATCCAAATTTATCTAGTAAGTTAATTCTATGAAAACTTGGACATTTCATGAGATTGAATGCCTTGATTTTTAGACTAACAAAAAAGGTTAAACTACTCAACATTGTGAAAGGTCAATCAATGCTTTCATATATGCCAACTAAGTGGGAATTTGGGCACTAAGAATCGCTCATAATTTAATGATTCGTGAGAATCATGTAAAATTGCTTCCATTTTACAGCACCGAACGGGTTGTGTGGTTGGCTGCTTCAGAAAGTTACAAAAATGGTGCCTGTCATCAGTGTTTGATGAGTACCTGCGCTTTGCAGCTGCCAAGGCAAGAGTTTCAGATATGAGATTCGTGGAATCCTTCGATACTTCCAGCTTGTTGGCGCATTTGCCCATGTCGTTTTCATTTTCACAGAGGTGATATGAACCCAGAAATTAAACTTGAATATAGGGGTTTTGTCTTCATTTTTCTGTGACAGCAAAACCCAGGTCCTCCTCTGCAATAAATTAGCACAAAATCATGAGTTCCTTCAAAGCATTACAGCGGCAAAGGAATAGTCTTCTGGCAGCATTTTAGAATAAGGGGAAAAAATCCTAGTAGTTTTAGGATTTCCGGTCTGAATGTTACAATGCCCTCAACCCCCCCCCCTTTTTTTTTTCCTTTTCTTTTCTTTTCATTGATGTTTTCAAGCCAGCCAATTCATGAGAAACAGTGTAGATATGTGTTGATTTTTTTCCCTTCAGACTCGTGAGAAATTCAACCAACTTCATATAAAGCTTTCTATGTGTCCCTGAAAACTTGGTGGGTTCCAACATGATCCTCAAGCATCTCATGGCTTGTTTTGATTTCCTTGAAGCTAAATTTGTATTTTTAATTTTATATATTTAATGTACTTGTTTATAATTAAACTAAAATATGTGTGTCCTTAATAATATTATTTATTCTACAATAAACTCTTAATATTAGTATTATTAACAAATTAAAATTTATTTGTCTTGATTTGATTGGATAAAAATATATTAAATACATATAATTAAAGTATTTAAGTCTTACCCATTTTTAAAAAATGGAAGCTCACTTTAGTTAATATCGTCTATCAGTATAAAGAAAAATTAATATCAATTAACTTCAATATTCATAAAATTAAAAAACAATCTAGAATTTGTAATGAAGAACAGTATTCATAAAATACTAGTAAAGGTAATCTCGCGATTGTTATAGATATTTCGAATACACGTTGACGTAGCACATGACTGTATGATGCACGAGTGTCCACCACTCCACCTTGCTTATTCAGAACTCATCTGTTATTTTTCGTGACCAGTACGGAATGAAGTAAGGACAGAGACTGCTCGCCAATAATTATTGCTTTATCTCGTACGACACATTCTTAAATTTCTCACCTTTTAGTTATTTCCTCTTGACAAAAAATATAAAATATTTTTAATTAAATTTTATTTTTTTATAAAATATTTCCTTTATCTCAAATTATAAGATATTTTTAAATAAAATTTTATCTATCAATAAATCTCATTAAATACATTTAACAACCTAATCTTTTCAAAATAAAAATATAAATTTTTAAAAATATCAATTATTTAATACATTGAAAAGAGAAAATATGAAAATTAATTATAGAGAGCGAAATTAAATTTATTAAAATTGATGCATTTAATAAAATTTTAATCTATCTGAAGTGTTTTATATTTTGAATACTCTTTCAAAAGTACCCTATAATTTGAAATTGAGGGAGTAGTTACTTATTTTTAAATTAGCAAAATATTTTTATATTTATCTCTATTTAATATAATATTTTATTTTAAAATAAATATAAAATAATTTATTCATTAAAAATAATTTTAGCAATGACTATACCTTAAAATATTAAAAATATATTACATTTTTTAATATCCAACTCTTTAAAAAATATCTTATATTTTTTTAGTAGAAGAAATATTACTTGTTTAATATAACCAAAACTTTTATATGTTGTTGCTTGCTTGTTTAATAACAATTTTAAGGATTTATTTTTTTTAGAATGTCATTCATTAAATGATATTATTTTTAAATTAGGAGAAAAATCAAGGATTAATGACAAGGACATTTTAGTCCAAAATTTTCAATTTAAAAAATAATTACTAAAATTATTGATTATATTCAAAGTGGGGGGAGTATTATTTTTAACTGTTCCATTGCAAAAATAATAAATAAATAGATATTTCAACATTAAATTATTTTTAGCTAAATATATACAATAGGATCAGTCAGGAAGGTTCGACAAAATAAAGAAAAACAACCAAAATAACCTAATTAATTAAATTATTAATTAATGTTCTAATATCTGAACGCCTAGCTAGCATATATGTGTGCTCCAATCTTTTGAACAGAAAAGCCAAAACGAAGCTGCTTGCTTGTTTTCAGGGCGATAATTTTTGGAATACTGACAAATAAGTTGAATTATTTTTCTCCCATTTGTGTTGCCATAGTTGGCATCTGGCATGGCATAGAGAAATAGATACATTGGCCGGTCAAATTATTTGTCACCATCATCAATGGTGGTCCCATTAATAGGCCTTCCAAGTTGGGACAGAGAAAGGACATTAATGCTATCAAATTCATCATTCAATTAAGCAACACATCCTTAGTATGATCTGACTCACATCAATTATTATTAATTGGCTGTGTACTGATTATTGATACAATACCACGTCTCATATCCTCATGATGATCACCCACTTCCTTTAGACCAAATTATTCACACTCACACCCATTCTACAAGCTTATTGATTTTTATTGACAAGCCTGAGATTATAAAACACAGATTAATTTAATTATAATCAAGCAGTTGGGATTGGACCCAGCTGATTGAGAGAAGATGCTTTGAAAGCTTCAAATCTGGGTTCTTTAGCTTCGAACTTGAGCTTGGCATAGAGCTGCATGTAGTCTTGAAACACAAATTGAGGGTAAAGCTGGCGGTTCTTGTGCTTCTCTGCTGCAACTAGTTGTGGGGCTGGGTAGATCAAAGCGTCACTTGCTGGATTGTAGAATGATGCTACTGACATTCTCGTCCCATTCTTTTGCGCAATCACTCGGTGCTCCACGCTCTTGTACTTCCCATTCGTTATGACCTGTTTCCTCCGCGATCATGTAATGTTAAGAAAATTGGACTGGTTATTCATCAACTATGGCTAAGATACAAGTTAACGGTTCAATGATTGTATTGTGGTTGAACTATAGGATTGAAAATTGAGTCAATCCAGTCGGTTGAACCAATGCCTTAACCGGTTCAATAAAATGCTATTGGTGGTCTCATTACTATTTAACTCCAGTTTTAAATATTAATCCTAAACCAGTATTTCGATGGGGTCAATGATAGGTTTGGTTTTTAATTAGTAACTCCGTTGAACTGATCAATCATGCTGAAACATCATATAAAAAGAAAAGAAGACTACAGTAATTAAAAGTAAGTACGTACCTCAAGCTGGTCACCGATGTTGATAACTAAAGCGTGGGGCAATGGAGGCACATCAACCCAGTGACCATCTTTAAGAATCTGTAGGCCACTGACCTTATCATCTTGGAAAAGAAGGATGATCCCACCCGCGTCTGTATGCTCACGAAGCCCCTTCACCTATTAAAGAAAAAAAGCCTCACATCTAGTAATTAATACATAAAGTCTGGGATTTGTATAAATCAAATAACTTAGACAATATATCTTTCGACATCACCTTCTCTGGGTTGGGACATGGCGGATAGTTGGCCACCTTGGTCCCAAAATTTGGTCCTCTAGATGACCCATCGAATACCTTCTTCAAGTAGCCTTTCTCTAACCCAAGATTCTCACACAACAGACCCAGAAGCTTCTCTGCTACTATCTCTAGCTTGGAAGCAAACTCCTTCATCACCTTCCTGTACTCGTCGGAGAGATCGGCCAAGTCGGAAATGTTGGACTCTGGAAGATGACGCAAGGAGAAGGTGCTTTCCCAGTCCATGTCTTTCATCTCATCGCTTATTTGAACTGAGTCGTCGTCGACGTTCGCTTGGGTTTTGCCAGTGACGAACTCCTTGAACCTCCGTTCCATGCATTGCTTGTAATGCTCTTTGGTGAGTCTCTCCACTGTGTCCATTAACTCGTGGGGTATCCCATGATTCACCACCTGGATGAAAAAAAGCAAAACACATTCATGCACGTATCATATCAATAGGATGATATATATTTCTTCATGAAAAAGAACAACGAATCTGATTGATTAAAACTGCGTGTGTCTGTGTAGTGTACCTCGAAGAATCCCCAGTTCTCGCAGGCATCTCTGATTTTCACCATTGTTGCTTCTCTCTCGTCACCATTGAGCTTCTCCAAGCTGATAACTGGGAAGTTCTCCATCGATCTCTCTCTGTGTCTGATCAATTATTGTGCAGAATAGAGTCTGGCTTGTTGCCATTTATAGGCACGCCTGTGGGTTAGCATGACGAAGGCAAAGAAGTTAACTCTTAAAATATTATAAAATAAAAAATATATGAATAAATTATAGATGCTTCAAAATAATTAAATTAAAGTATGCAGCACCACTCTCTTCTTTTAAAAAGTATTGTGTATATATACAACTTTGGATATTTCTGAAATATATATATATATATAGTTGGGGAAAATCCTTTTCGGGACAAATTTAAAAATAATCTATATAGTTGAAGCTGTCCAATGTTATTTCAACTAAATGGGTGGACACACTTCCAACTAAGGATCCAACTTCCGAGCAGCGAGGAATTAAATATTCATTTTCTTTCTCAAAATAAATCATTCATTTAATTTTACATATTTTGTACCTTCAAAAATATTATCAATTAAAAAGCAAATTTATGGAAATGATACACTTAATGTTTTAATTATTTTAAAATCATGAAATCTAAATCTTTAGTTAAAAAAATTATCAGCTGATATATTTTATTTATATGTGTGTATATTATTCTTATTATTATTATTATTATTATTATTATTATTATTATTAGAACTATTCAAGCATAGTATTGATAGCTTTTAAAATGCTTCGTGATAACGATAAGACTACTAAAATGCAGCAGCAAATGCGTGCATGTTGCTGGGCTCAATAGTCTCCAAAGCAATGAGAACCGCTACTTTATTTTATTTCTCTTTTTTTTAAAAGATGCGATACAAACGCACATGCAGTGTCGCAGTCCAAATTAAGCTCAAAACAGAATAGCTTAAATTGAACAATGAAGGGAAAATTCATATATGGACAAATATGCGTGAGCCAAATAACATAATCAGTCTTAGTTTGACCTTTATACTTAAACATTTGCCCTCTTGTACAAATTAAAAAGCCACACGCTTAATAAGTTATGTGATGTGATTTTTAGTGTATAACACACACACACACACACACAGAGACAGAGAGAGAGGGAATCATGAAGTTGATATATTGGATTGTGTTTTGTGAGGACATAAAAATTAGAAGAAAGAATGGGAACATACACCAAAAACTAAAGCGGTGCTTGTTTGGTGGGTTTGGTGTCACGAGGCTTTGGATTTTCTGTGTATTTCTAATTTGAATTATTTGACTTTGAATAATTATAACTTTATTATTCTGCATGTTGGATAAAGTAAATGTAAGAATATTGTTTTTTTAACTATTAATTTTAAGTTAAAAATGGAAAAAGGTAAAAAATGTTTTAATTAAATATATAAATTCATTATTTTTTTATGAAAAATATGTTATATTTAATACTATTGATAAGAATTTAAGCTGCATCAAGTCGTAGAATGATAAAAATTATAATTTTTTTCATCGATAAAATTTAGACTCAAGATACTTAAAATTAAGTTCATTTAACTGGAGTATCTAATGTGTATATTTATAGAATCAAAACAAATGCAGAAGTTGTTTTTGAAAGAATTATCTCCATTTAAATGAGACAATACTCAAATCTGATTCAGTTAGATATTCAAATAAATAAATAAATAAATTGTGGTATTGATAATTCTGTTAAAGTTTTTACAGAGATACACAAATACAGTGAATGTAAATTGGAAATGAGTGGGGACCTGGAAGAATCAAAGAATGAATGGACAGAGGAAGATGGGAAAGTTTGAGGCAGCAATCAGATACACGCGTGAATATTTGAATGTTCTTTTTTGTTAATTAAAAAAAAATTACAACTTTTTGTGGACTTATCCCAATCCACAAAGAGGTCATGTGGCTTGTCCCATTCGTTCACTTCCCATGCCAATGGTTCGCCACTGATCTCCCACCTTTTATGGCAGAGTATCGTCCTGGGAGAATTATTTAAGTCCCTCTGAACTATTCTAATTACCAGAAAGTCCCACCAAATACTGAAATGGCCACGAGCCCGAGGTTGAGATCCCCAAGTTCTTGGTTGCAAATAACATATGCTATCTAATGACTATAATGCCCATTACATCTGGTTTTGGATGACCGTGAAAAAGTCAAACACCAATTAATAAAGAGTTATGCTAACTTAATCGGTGATTTTGAGTTTAAATCTTAGATATATAGTAGTATTAAATGCTTGTTGGGGAGAACTTTGCCATTATATCAAAAAGAAGTCAAGCGTCATCCTCTGTCCTTGTTCATTGAAAATATGGCTTGTCATAGATTTTATATGTATTTTATTAATCGATATGATATTGAGGATAGTGATAAATTTTAATTAATTTTATAATTTAAAATTTGTAAATAATTTCTTGTATTAATCATGCTAAATAAAATATAAAATCCCTACAAGTTATATTATTTGCAAACTATGAATAATTGTCGGACTCCATACAATGCAGGCAAGCATATGTAAACAAGGAAGGAAATGATTTTATATATTATTCATAAATTATAAATAGTATAAATTATTTTTCAATTTTGCGTAAGTTACATAGGCATAACGTGTCTAGTTCAACAAAACAACACAAATATGAAATTGAGTTGATTAATTATTCCTTTGACACACAAGTTTCTCTGTGTCTCTTTTGGTAAAACGCCTGTTCTTAAATTTCATTCAAACACCCATTTACAAAAACAATCCAAGTTTTCTTTTTTTAGTGACTCATGGATCATTAAAAAAATAAATAAATAAAAGAACTAGAAAAATAACACTTAAACTTATGAATCCATAGCTTGTATTAATAACGGTCAAGAATGTTAAAAGTCATTTCTTTTCGATTATACAAATAATAACTGATAGCACTCCTAGAAGTTAATCATGTTTTTCAAAATTTACTACGTCGTTTCCCGAATGTAATGATGATGTTTTAAATTTGTTATTATATTTGAATAAAAGTAAAACACTTGGTAATATCAAGTTGTAATCTTATCAAACATCAATGATAAGTAACTTTTTTCTATTGTCAGTGAGACATAATTTTTAAATCCTCAATCGTCATAAGTATAAATTATTAGTTTTTGAAAGTAATTTTCCAGATATCTTGAAGAAATTACTTTCTGTTCTATTTTAGAGCCATAGATATCCATTTAAAAAGGACTGGTACATGAACCTTCCCCAAATGCAATAGTCATTATTATAAAGATAAGCTTGAAACGCCTTTAAAATTTTCTTTCAATTTTCTTGTCCGAGTCATACTATCTGCTGCTTATTATTACAGGACCACCATACACTTGCTTCCAGAATAGCATTAATATTTTCAAACATATCTGCATATGAAAGCCAAACTCTAGGTTGGTGCAAATCCATTAAAAAAGAAGAAAAAAAAGTTATAACTTTAAGGGGTAGGTCAAAATTCACCATATTTATGTCTGCTAAAGAATGATGAAATCTCAATATGCTTCCACAAAAGTAGGTGATATTTGTTGCAATTGCAGATAAGGACACTAGCATGTTAATCATGTAATTGCAAGCTCTCTCTCTCTCTTTAACTGGATGCTTGGTTCAACTGGCAAGAAATTGTACATGTTTAGCTAAAAGTTGAGTTTGAGCTCTAAGAATGCAACATCGTTGGTGTTATTGTTTCTATCCAAAGGATCACATCCTAATTCAATATGGATTATCTTGAACTCCCATTGAAGTCCCTTGAGTTCAGTATGCATATACAGCACACAAAAATCTCCACCCCCCTCTCTCACACATCCATGTATCCCTCCTCCCCAAGTCTGAAAATGCTAGTCAACTGATTTTACAACACACAAACCAATATATATGTCACTTGAAACCCCCATAGAAACAGAATTATTTTACTGGAAAAAAATGGGTATATGCATGCCAAGCACACTTAAAAACTTGCATGCGTATTATTCATTTTATACAATTCGTCTTTGACACTTGAATGTGCAAACAAGTAGAGAGATATCTATTAATCCAAGTGGTTTCTTGCCCCACCATAAAGGATGATTGAACTGAGAATGACCTTGTCATAAATACCAAAGTCATGCGTGCCTGAAGAGATCCTTGTTGAAGTCAGTCAGGCTTGAGCCTTTTTTATGGAAACTAGGCACTAAATGCAGAACAACCTGCTCAAATAAGAAGACAGCGTCACTGTGTAGAGAAGTTGAAGACACAGTACAGTGAGAGAAGAACATAAAGACTTCTAGTTGAGAAATCTTTTGATCTTTATTGCAACATCAAACACAGCACCCGCAAGAGATGGATTTACAAATACAAGAGACAAAACAATGCATTTGATTAAATCATAACAATTAGGCATCCCAGCGTAGCACTAGCCAGCAGTTGCCAGGTGTGTGTGTGTGTTTGTGTGTGTGTGTGTCTTACAAGCGGCAATATTCACAAACTACTAACAGTACAGCATATTTTTCAGACTCGGTACATACAAGTATATGGAGAGACGTGTCTAGTAGAACAATCCAGATCAGATGCATGAATTGGATGAGCAAAACATATTTCGTCATCACTTGTTATTTGTTAATCATGAAATTATTGAATAATGAATTATTAAATAGTATAAAAAATTAGGATTAAGGAGGAAAATCTCACAACTTGACCATTCTTAAAAATAAAGCGTTGGCACGGGTGTAAGCACCTGCTTGGTGTAAACTGCATGGAAGAAAGGTTTGTTTCAGTAACCTGTGTGAGAAAACCAGACTAGAATATGGCATCAATTGTGATACGATTTAGTAAGCAAAAAGCACTGTCGTGGCCATTTTCAATTATTTCCATTTAGGGAATTAGAAAGTTGGCCTTAATCAAAATCACTTACATCTTTCCATGAATTTCATAGAAGACTTCCTCACTTTGTCAATTCCGAAGGAAACCTGGGAGTTAAACCAAGTCTAAGACAAATGAAAATAAAACTACACTCAAATTAAAACCCCCCCTCTCCCCTAAAAAAAAAAACACACACACACACACACACAAAATAATAATAATAATAATAATGAGATAATGGTGGGAGGATCAAGGAAAATAGCATGACTATAGACAAGGAAGGTAGAGGAGGCCATTCGATTGGGAAGAAGTCATTAACAACATCTGTTTGCTTCTAGCTTCCACATAACTGCTTTCCGCTAGTTTCCTCATTTTCTAACTTGATCATGATACCAGAAAAAATGCCTTATATATTGGCCATTTCATGCATTTTCCACATATTGGCTCATCAAGCAAGCATCAATTAAGGGGAGGAAAAATGAACAAAAAACAAAAAAACAAAAACTGAAAATGATTAAATAAATGCCTTACATACTTCCATTCTCTATTTATAGCCAATTTCCAACATCAAATGGCGATAACTTCGTCCACGTAATATCCTATGCCACAGGAAATAAATAGAGTTGCAGAAACCCAGTTCCATCCGCTGCTGGACAAGCCTACAACCAAAGGCCAGCTTAAATATTTGTACAAGTTCCCGATCATTCTAAGTGTACTGAATTTTGAGAAAATTACTAACCATCTTACAAGGCACCTCTGTATTCCCCGAGAGACAGGGCGCATGAAAGATGGGTCTCTTTGTGCATAAAGCAATCCTACCTACAGGAAAAAAAGGCCAGGATTTAGCAGATCAACATTTCCAAGAAAAAAGATATAATACTGAAAATTTCGATGATTAATTAAATTAAATCTAAGGTCTTCCTACTTCTGTTAGTCTAAAAATTAAGATAATATCAACAGCCAGTTTCTTAATTTCCTGCAGTGAAAATCCAAGAGTTGGTCTATGGTTTAATCAAAGAGATGTACCTCCAATAGTGCAACAGCAGAAGGATCATCAAATATTTCTAGGCTGCAATCCGCTAGATAATTAAACTGCAGTGATAAAGTGAGCAGCGTTATGCCATGGATTACAGAATACCTCTACCATGCTAGAGTTCAAACTAAGAGTACCTTCATCTACCAAAAAATTTCAAAGAATGCACAATTATACAGAGAGTGGAATCATGGACTGGTAATAAGGGTAAATGAAACAATCATTCGAGGATTCCAAATAAATTTTGTCCGTAATTCTTTAACATGCAATCTTGGCTACTGAATTATATAGACGAAGACTTATTGCCTTTCTGAAATTGTCAATCCAACCTTGGCAATAAAAATTTCACTTGCAGAGACTTCACAATTAAAGAGTTCAAAGATCAAAATTGCAGAAGAGCATTACGCAGTAAAACAACATCCTTTTATCCTGAAGATCAAATATTATCAGAAAAATATCACTGAGCAAAAACTATCAGGTAATCAAATGAATCATTTCATATATCTTGAAGATTACTATTTGAGATCTCATCTTTTTCATCCAATTATGTCACTTCCTCAAAATTCACATGGCATAGGATATACAAAAATTCTTCCATTGAATCAACAAGGTTCCTTATCCATACACGAGAAGTGCAAGCACGAAGTCATCAGATTATTTGAAGGCATATTTGAACCTCCCCTCCTTTTTTTAATACTTTCTGCACGGAATTTAAAAGTAGTGGAGTAACAGAGAAAGAAAGCTTTCTCATCAGACAATATACAGATACATGCAACATGTTATAATTTCACATTTTCCTACTGAATATACGTCTTATTCGCTTCCATTTTTGCAACAAGGAATCTTCCCGCAAAAGGACTAGAGAGAAATACAAGGGATAAGCAAACTTACCCCAAATTCTGTGTTGACTAGAGACTGAATAAAATCCATTAGTTGAAGCTTTGCCCATTTCATGTTTGATGTAGGGTCATCAGTCTGCGGGGGATGTCTCCAAGGTGCTCCAAAACGTAATTTATCTTTTGAAACCTTTCCAGCACGCACATCAAATGCAAACTTTTGCAAGATCTCCAATGCTCTATCCATGGCAGGATTTACAACAGTAATCTAAATGAAGTTTTCATAAGGAAACATGAGGACACATTAATAAAAATTACAGAAGAATATTATGAAACTATTTGGGTTTAACAGTAGAAAGTAGACCAGGGATAATTAGATATACAAATATTTAAATAATTGAATTTTAATCATAAAACCAAAAATTTAACTACTAATGTAATGGAATTTTAATCAGAAAACCAAAAATTCTGTAGCTTTACCTCACCTGAAACAACTGCTACAGATAAAACAGGTGAATTTACACTTATTTTAACCACAACATAGCTATAAAAGATATTAAATTTATAAATGAAGAAATATAAAATACCTAACTTTTCAAATTTAACTAATTTTAGACGAAATTTAATATCAAGATCAAAATGTGTATTAATAAACACAAGTATCAATATAAAATATAAAAACTCTAATAAGAAGCACTGCTCATAAGTCGTGAATAGTATGACTCCATTTTTAGGTTCCTTGCAATGCATGGGACTTGGACCTAATTACTATAAATTTACAATGCTAAGGAAAAAATAAATAACAATGGAACATAAGTTTAACAATATTTTTAATAAAAGAATGCAGTTTATATTCTTAAAGGCATTTTGGTAATATATGGATTTCGAGGGCAAGTGTTTATTTTCAAAATAGTAAGGACAGTTGTGCAATTTGAATTTCTCTCAAGGGATGATGAGTAATTTACTCTTACTAAAAAAGGGACATGTGATTTCAAGCATATGTTGGAAGCTGAAACTTACTTGCAAATATGCTAAATAAGCATCTAAAATGTCCTCAAAGGCACTCTTGTCTCCAGCAATCCTACATTTGAAAAAAAAGAAAAAAAGAAAAGAAAAGTATGAGCAAAATCCTAAACAAAGATATAGTACCAATCACGTAAAAAGATCACACTGCATAAAAACTGGTGGAAAGCAATTAGACATGTTATGTAAGATTGCTAAGATGACACTAGTTGGGAGTAGGATCAAATAATTCTTACTTCTGGTAATAATTGCTTTGTTTGAGAACATAAAGTTCAAATAGGTGTCGAGGGCTTGGACCAAGTAACTCAATGATAATGGTCCACTGCAATTAAAAAAATACTGGTTAATTCATACAAATATATTCCTGGAACTAAAATAAAAGGCAAAGAAACTGAAAAGTTACAGCAAGATAGCACGGCCTCCTTACTTCAGAGTGACTGAAATAATCAGCAACCATGTGCATTTTAGCTTCTTGTGGAGTCCATCCAAAGGTCTGCCAGTTAATTGAATGAGTGACATAAAGTAATGCACAAACCAAATGGACAGGGTCTGTGATCAAATGAAATCTTAAACTGTTATAGACAATTCTTCATATCTCATTAAAATGAGCATAAAAAATATACTCACTTCATAACTATATTGCAGAAGCAACCTTAGGAAATTAATTAGAACTTAGCTGAAGAAAGTGAATGGCTGAATGCACCTCCATAGATACACATACAAACAATAGCATTTCTCACAACAATGATTTTGTTTTCCAAGATGTAAACACATTAAGATGTAATTTGAGTTTTCTTAAAATTGGGAAGCTTGAAGCATTGAATTATTCAGTCTCATTTATTGACTCCAAGAAGGGAGACAGAAAAATACAAATTGATTACTTTGGCTTTTTTTGAGTTCAAGTACATTACATTCTTGCATCTGCAACCCCACGTCCACATAGAACTGTTAGTATGTGATGTGTGAAAGAGAAAAAAAAGTAAATGATTTTGATTGAAGTACCTCACGGGAGATGAATATGTCAATAAATCCAAAATCCAAGAAAGCTTTGTATGAATAGTAGCTGAATCAAACAAGAAGGTATTAGAATTCTTGAACAGACTGGAATGACCATACGCGTATAAAATATTCCAACAAGTTAAAATGCTACATTATAATAAAAACATTTTGCACAAGGGAGAAAAGACATGAGAAAAATCAACTAAACATAGGCACGAACCTCTGTTATAAAGATGGTTGAGAAGTTGACAAGAAACCAAAAAAAAATCAGGGAAAGAGTGGGTATACAAAGACCACAGGCCAACGATGTTGAAAGTTAATTGCTTGGAAATTGACAGATATCAATGCAAAAAATTCAACTCTTAAGCCTACAAATTAATTTTTAATATACTACAGCGCAAAAGGAAACACAAATGACCGGTTATTATCAACATAGAACACATATTTGGTATACAAATAATGAATTTTTAACTATAAAATGCTCTTAATGATTCTATCTTATCATGTTTTTTTTTTTTGGGACAAAGATTCTATCTTTTCATGTTATCTGTATTGTCAGCCATCTGGTAGTTCACTCGTCTGATGCTTCTAATTTATCCATATCACATGATCATTACTCAAAAAAAAAAAAAAAAAAAATGCAGCACGCCAGTACTCAAATTATGCTCCTAAAATAAGTGAGCATCCAGAAAATGAACAAGAATCCCAACTTCTAAGTCTTGGGCGTGGAATAGGGAAAATGAGTTTATATATATATATATATATATAAGGGAAATGAGTGTTCAAAAATCCACATAAACAAACCCAAGTCATAAGTCCTTACTGGCCCAGAAAAGGAAAACGTAAAACCATGTAAGAAAAACAGATGCTCTTAAATTTGGAACCATTTCACGTACAACAAATATGCATTAAAAAAAAAATAAAACTTTGGTGCTTATTCCTGTCAAATTTAAATAAGAGTTTCAGATCGTAAATATCATTAAAGGTAAAGGGTGAGTAAAAGTGAAGCTAATGGAACATACCTATCAGATGTCACCAAGATCACAGGTAAACTACGTACGTTTACACCCAAAGCAATTATTCTCCATATCAAACTATCATGATACAGTGATCCGCTAACTGACAACTCACCATTTAGAGTTGCATGTTTCAAAACTTCAACATTGTTAATAACCAACTTTGGCTGCAAGTAATTTGAAAGCATCAGCAATTTGAACATCCAATTCACTTCTAAAAACTTACTCAAATTTATTCTACACACCATAGAGGAGAATGCATTCCCACAAACATTGCTTTGGAATCATTTCAAAGCCAAAAACTAAACCACAGGTGGCATGATACTAGCATGATATGTATATATATATATGTTTATTCAGTTATTACAAGTAACATATATATGCATCTAGACACACACACACGCGCGCGCGCGGACATAACATAACTACCTGAAAATGATCAATTTCAGCAGCTTGTGACAACAACTCCAACAATAAACAGGGCCAGTCAGTACAACAATGTGCCAAAGACCTTGAAAACCCACCTGTCCTGTTCAGATGAGCAATGGCATTAGCTCTCCAACCTTGTTGAACCTTAATAACCTCCTTTGCCAGTTTCAGTGCCACAATTGCCTCCTTGAAATACGAAGCCTCCTCAACAGACAGGCTACGCCCCTTCTCACCCAACCCCAAAATCCGATCAATCTCATTGGCATTATATCCAGCAGATACCGCAAAAACTGCGTGATCCCACAATCTGGAGAGCGAAACCTTGTTTGAAACAGCAGATTTTGAAGCAATACTGCTCTGCAATATACGCTTGAGTGCTGTATTTAAACCATGCCATTTGTTTAGAGTGGTGAATATTTGCCGGGAGGTGATGGTTCCAAGCATGATCCCTTTTTCTGCCATGGATTCCAGGACGTGTTCAAGCTTCTGCCGGCAATCTGACAAAGTGGGTGGAGGGCAATTCGACCAAGAAGTCCATGGAAATGACTGATTGTATTGCGGGTGGTGATCTTTGATGGTTTCAGCAAAATCTACATACCCAGTGAGGTGGGGGCCTTTGTTCCAATCGCCAAGCAAACCTGGAAACTAAAAACTGTAAGAGAAAGTGAATTGAGAACTGAACCACGAGAGAAGGCTGATGGGAATGTACGTTCGAGTATTAGAGTGGTTTTCCCAACGCCTCTGGGTCCGTGAAGAATGAGAGGCTGAGGGACGCGAGGGTGTTGAACGTGGTTGTTTAAAATGGTTTCAAGCAGGGGTCTTGGTATGATCTTCCAAGGTTTATGCACCATCTTGCGATTCGGTTGAGGCACTCAGCAGCTATGGTTCTGAACTGAGGCGGAGATCGAAACAGGGTTTTGGGGGGTTTAGGACTGTCGGACCAACCAACTGTTCATTTTTTGGTTTTGGGTGGACAATGGAGGTCCATATTCCAATATTCCTATCCATGCTTATTTCTCCTTCATCCTCGACCCATAAATACCATTTTTCGGGTCAATTATTCATGAATAACGTAATTTATTTTTCGGAATCTTATCTTATTAGTTCTAGCCTGTGTGATCTTGTGTACTTTTATTATTGTCTTTCAATAAAAAACGTAATTTATTTTTAATTTATATTATTATATAATAATATATGATATAGGAAAAATTAATCCTTTGGCATTTATAATTTTAATTGAAATAAAATTCTACTCTTAAATTTTGACTTGGTGTAATTGAGTTTTTATAGTTTTGACCAAGACTCAATTTAGCCCCTTTTGTACCAAAAAAAAAAAACTCAAGTTCTAAATTTAACTTAATGCAAATCATTTAACCATTTAAAACGTTAGTTATGGTTCAATAAATAATTTTAATCCTTATATTTTTTTAAAAAAAAATGTAGGACTAACATATTAAAAGATTAAAATTATAGAGATTGAGTTGCACTCAGTGAAAATTTAATAATTGAGTTTTAATTGAATTAAAATTACAAAATTTAATTGCAATAAGTCAAAGTTCATAGAATGAATTTTAATTGAGTTAAGAAACCAAATGGTTAATTTTTCTAATAATATGCATGGAATATAAATAATTTAAACATTTTTTGTTTGTTTGTGCACATGTATCTTTTTATGGAAGGTATTTTATGTTTGTGTGTGTTTGTATACAAGCAGAAATTTTATTCAAAGTACAATCAAATACTAAATATGAGCATTTTTTTAAATAAAAATTTGGATATTAATTTACTAAGTTATTGGGGATTAATTCTTTTCATTATACTAGAAAGACATTATTTAACAAGCAGAATGTTAGTGGTTAAAAAAAAAGGGAAACAGTGCATCAATTATTTCTCTTGAAAACTCTCATTATTGGCTCTTAGAAATAATTAGCCTTTTTTGCCATGAAAACTAAATGTTGAAATTTCAACTTACAAGAGAAACGATAATTTTATTTTCCTGCTTCAACAAACTTTGCTCTTGTTTTAACTCACTAGAGGTTCGCTAATTATTAGTAATTGCATCAATCCACGCCTCAAAGGGTTCGTCTCTGGTACTGATTTTTGTGTTCGTTGTCTCACTAGAGTTCTTTAAACAACACACTGGTGCTTCTGACTGTGTATCATCAAGATCCAGAGCCCAAAAGGTTGAAGAGACCATGTTCTTGTTGGCATTCTGAGGAGCAAGGGTTGGTTCTGTCAGTGCCATATCAACATTTTGTGTGCTTAAGGCTTCAGTGACTGTATTCAAACTTTGAGCATGAAAGGTTGGTTCTGCAACCATCTTGGTCCCAAAAGTAACTTGAGGAGTAGAGGTTGGCGGTGGTGTCATCCCATTGAGGTCACCAACAGTCTGAGCCAAACTAGTCTGGGAATTATAGCTCTGACCAGTGGAGGTGGGTGCTATTGCTACCTCAAGAGGATTGTGAGCACTAACCATTGTTACATTTCCCCGAAATGTTGGTGCCAGATCAAAAAAATTAGCAAAACCAACTTTATAATTTTCAGGGCTGGAAGGAACAATGCTTGTATTTTCTAGGAATGGGTTGTATTGGGCTTGAGGTACTGAGGAAGGCTGATCAAATAATGAATCAAGGATTAGTGAGCCTATGCCATTTGACAATTTATTAGTTGATGTGTGTTCTGGTGTAGTTCCTATCTTAGCAAACACTAAATCCCAGCAATCTTTGGAGCTATTATTCAAATCAAGGTTTTGTTGTTCCTGATCTCTTGTTTGACTATCGTGCTGCTTTACTTGCTTGGGTGTAGATGCTATCTCAGCTAGAACTAAACCCCAACAATCTATGGAACCATTGATTGACTTCAAAGTTGTATTTTTCTGTTCCTGGTCTGTTGTTTGACTATCATGCTTCTCTACTTGCTTGGGTGTAGATGCTATCTCAGCTAGCACTAAATCACAACAATCTGTGGAACCATTATTGTTTGGACTCAAGGTTGTGATTTTCTGTTCCTGATATCTTGTTTGACTATCATATTGCTCTACTTGCTTGGGTGTAGATGTTATCTCAGCCAGCACCAAATCCCAACAATCTATGGAACCGTGGTTTGAACTCAAAGTTCTATTTTGTTGATCCTGATCATTTGCTTGACTATCACATTTCTCTACTTGTTGGAAATCATCAAAAATCACCAAGTCAAAACATGAACTTGTTTGATCAATTGGCAATGACTTGCCCAGGCTCAAGTCAGCATCAGTAGTAAAAATCACGAGGTCCTCCAATGATGCACATTGAGAGCCATATTCAGATCCACGTTCCGAAAACTTTAAAGGTGCCTCAAATTGCTCATTAGATTCATCTTGGCCTGAAACTGAACTAGTATCCTTTGGCAGAGTTGGAAGAAGATTGCGTTTGGAATCACAAATTGGGGATAGTGGTTGACCATTATTTGCAGAAAATGAAGCCCTATCTTTCATGAACTCTTGCAATGTCTCCATAAGCTCATTAGACACCTTTTGCACACTTGGGTACTCAGATGTCTTCCCAATTCCAAGGCTCGCACACAAAGCATAGAATCCAGATAGCTCATCAAATTGTTTAGAGGATTTGACACAAGCTTTGTAGGCAATAGCACATGCCTCATATGGTAGCTGAAAGAAGTTATCAAAGATCACAGAAAGCCCATCAGAAATGTCCCTGTACAGATCAAAACTCTCTTGCAGAATAGCATATAAAGAAATCTTAATCAAACTGTTATTCTTTGCTGCCCCGGTTGGACGTGACCCAATTGCTCTATCCAACAATTTCTGCCAATGAGTAATTCTATCAAGCACTAGTGTGGGTTTCATGCCTTTAATCCCCGATTCATTAGACAGATTACTATGTTTCAAGCTCTTCTTTTGGATTGCTTCACGATAATACGTGAATCGACGCTGAAGCTTTCCTGTGAGAAAGCAATCTAAGCGTTCATCAAGGTACAGAGCAAACGTTCTAATAAAGGAAGTGTAGTCCCAAGAATTTGGAGTGGAATCATCCTTGAAATTAGAGAGATTAAGAATTTTAGCACCTCGTTTCATGGCGTGGAAAATTTCTCTGGGGAAATACGGATCACCGTCTTGAAAGATTCTAAGAACAAGCATGAGGGATTTTAGGGCAACAACCCAATTGCGAGTTCTGCCGATTCGTTTGCCAATGGACTGGGCACAAGCTGCAGCAAAAACTTTGTTGGAAGATACGAGAAGAACAATTTCATTCACATGCCGATTTCCCATCGGAATTTCATCATGCCTGGTGGCTTTAAGAATGTTAACCTCAAGATTTGCGGCACTGCTTACCTTGGCTAAGCCAATACTGGTTTGGTCCTTCATTGCCCCTATGGCCTTCCTTAGCTTGCAAGCCATGGTGCATTGTTCAAATTTCACTTCGATCTCCAAGGTTTTTTTTCAGCTATTTGAATTGAATGTTTGTTGTTGTTGTTGGTGGTGGTGGTTATTTTTTCCCCTGAGATGGGTGGGGTTTATGGGAGAGCGCAAGGTGTCTAGGAGAGAAGAAAATGGACTGTTAATATGCAGAAAATGTCTGATCTTAGCGTTGAAGATGTTTCATTTGCGTGGTGCAGAGTGGAGAATGGGAAGTCATCCTCGAAAACTGGAAGATTTATTCCTTTGGTTGACCAATATATCCATTTCTGATTAGACCATGAGATGTCATTTTTCCACATTTGTTAGAAATTTAGAATTATCCACAGTTTATAATATGATAACAAAACACTTCATCAATTTCAAATTATAAAATAATTTAAAATAAAATGACATATATTAATAACATTCAATAATAATGCTTTATAAATTTATTTTTAAAATAAAAATAAAAATTTAAAAAATACTATTCATTTATTATAACTTTAAATTTATTCACTTGCACATTTCAGTCCCATCACTTCAATTCTTTTTTAATATTAAGAAAATAGTTTAAATTTACTTTATAATATGAGATAGAGGCTGTACAACAAATCTATAAATTGTCACACGGGGCCAAAATGAAACATTACAAGAAAGTGGGAGCCAAAATTAATCTTTGCATAGTTTACAAATGAAAACTAATATTTCTTAATTTTTATCCCTAGTTCTTATTCTTAATCCTTTGTAAACACCAGCGGTGATTACTGTTCATCCACAGCAATCTTAATCAGATGCTTTAAATGTTTGTGGGCCTGTGGTTTTGTTGCATCCTTGTATGGATATATTTTCGGGACAATTGCTGAAAAATCTCGTTAGAAAAGAACTTATACTCGAGAATTAAGTCAAATTTAAAGAGAAAATCTAATATTTTATTTATAAAATAATGTGTTCAATTGATCAAAATGTCCCTATGGCTATTGTAACACTTTCCAAAAATAATCACATTTTTATTCTATAGAAATAATATATAAAAAATAAAATTATAAAAAATAAAAATTATATAAATATATATATAATGCATAATAGATAGTAGTGATAATATAAAAATAAATAACTTAACACCTAGATAGCAGGTATTTAGTTCATATTTTTGTAATTCCTAGTTCTCTGGTTTATAGGTATATGTATACACACACACACACATCACATGGGAAAGGGAGAAAATATGGGAGTAATTGATGATGATGTGTACAGTTTTGGACACTGGTCATTCTATTAAAGATGAGTACTTGGCTATTTTTTTATATCCTAAGGCTACACGTGGAAGCAAGATAGAGATTTAAAGCTTTGGAAAAAATAAAATAAAAAGGAAAGCTGTCTGCACGTGACAAGGAAGAACTAGAACATATGCCCAAACGCACGGGAAGTTATTTTGACGTATGGTTTTATGTCAAAGTTTGATTTTAATTTGATAATGGTTGAATGATATAACTGTTATGGATTGGGAGAATGAAGAGTTGGTGTGAATGATTAAGTGATTGGTTTTGGAAGGAAAAGGTTGTTGATGTTATTTAATTTATATTTCGTGAGATGACCAATTAAGGTTAGTTTGTTTGATATTATGTGTGTGTGTATGATTTAGAAGCTAATTATCCGTGCAGTTGATTGTCGAGTTCGAACAGGAAGATGTGAAGGTTAGAAAAAACGAAGACGTCTGTTTCGAAGTATTTAGAATTTTAAGCATAGTTTGTTTAATTTTTGAAGTTCATTAGGTGTGCAGTTGATTGTAGAGCTTGAACAGGAAGATGTCAAGATTGGATAAAATGAAGACGTCTGTTTGGAAGGATTTGGAGTTTGAAGCATAATTTGTTTAATTTTTGGTTTTAATTTTTTGTAAATGTGTTCTATAAAAGGCTACGAAAATAGTTTTTTGTTGTAGTTTTTTTTTTTTTTAGGTTTTTTTCTTCAGTTTTGCGTAACGTGTAGCATAGTGAAAATTGAATTGCAAGTGAATCAAGATTTGTTGAAGTAGTGATTTGTTGATTGATTTGAATATTGAGTAATATGTAGAAGTAGTAATTATACTTCAAGCGTTGTGATGCGTTGGTTTTTTGAAACTTTGTGTTATTATTAAATATGTTATATGTGTAATGAGATAATTTTGTGTAGTAACTTAATGTTGTTTAATTAATTGAACCCAATCATCTTTTTTCCCAACGATTAATTTTCTCCTAATTTTATTTATGATGATTAATTTTCCCAACGTGTATAGGCAAACAGACAAACACAAAGTATTGCGGTATTTGTTATGAGCGGAGGTTTATTTATTGGAACAGTATATTTTTGTGTATTTTGAACATTTGATTTTAGAGTGGTATGATAAAAAAATTTGGAGGACAATGTTTAATCAATTTTGAGAAGTATATGGAAGAAATATTAATTTCTTGAAGTAACTTAGTCATGGTTAATTAAGGAGACCTCTCTTTTTCTTTGTTGTACACTTATTTCGCTTGTCATTTTATTTCTTTGGGTTGTGAATTAAAAATGTGAGATTAAATTATGCAATTTATACATACATAGGCAAACTGACAATGACAAAGTATTGTCAAATTTTTTACGATTGGAGAGTTATAATTGGGAGCCCCAATTTTTTTTCTTATTTCAGACAGTTGATATAATATTTGCAAGTTATAATTGTCAAGATGTACGACTGCATCTATGTTATTTATTTTGTTTAGAGAGGCAACCACTTTATTAATTTATCTTGTAGAGACCGTAACACTTATTAGAGTTGGACTGAAGGTGATATAGAGTTGGAGAGCAAAGTCTAAGCAGGCACTCTTAGGTTGTATTTACAAGTCTTAAGTATGTTATTTAATTTAAAACTGTCGACGTGGGTATTTTAAAATATGCCATGCATTGGTGGCGAGACAGCAAATTTGAGAGGACGTGAAATACTTTCTGCATGTGAGGAACAACAAAGATAAGACTCCAAGGAAAAGACAGAGAGCATAAGTAGGCAATTTTTACTGATAGTTGGCAAGGTCATAAATGCTACAGATTAGACAGTCTACATAAAATATATTGAGCATAAGTTTTGAAATAGTGACCTTGCACTACAAAAAGGAACTGTAGATTAAAATGGAAGTTTTATGTGCTACAAATGGAATTGATTTGTCAAGAAGCAAGGAGATCAGTGATGATTGGGTGGACTTCAGCTATGTCTTGAGTGTCCCAAAATACACGAGTGGCTGGGGAGAAGTTTGTCAGGATCTTAATTTCTTGAGAAGAACATGGTCGTTAGTGTCAATTGGTGCTCTGTATTTAAGAAAGTAGAATGCATGAGAGATTTATTACCCTAAGGCATTTGTAGCCAAGCATACTGAATGACACACTGAAATGGAGGTATTTTGTTTGTTGTTTTGTAGTCTTCCCAAGCAATTTTTGCATTTTCTCCTTGAAGCAAGTAATGCAGTGGACGGTGTCTTAAAAAGCATAATATATTGGTTTAATGGCAGAATAAACTTGAGTGAGATAAAATATTATTAGAGACTTTATATTGTAGGTGTAAAAAGTCGAAGAAATCTCCACTGTTCATCTTTCATGGTAAACTCTAGCTGAATGATATCTAGCTCGAGAACTTTTGTCAAAGAGGGCCTTGCGATGCTCATCAAAATGCCGCTGACATTTGTGAAGGCAATAAGATATTGGGTTTGCTAAAATTTTAAGAAGACAATAGTGTAGTTCAAAGGACATTGCATATTGTGTAACTATTGCAATCTAGTCATAGACCCAAGTTTGCATCAGGTTTTTTATGCCCTTGAAGTGGAATGGATGCTCATTCATGGCGATGGGATCAATCATGATCATTGTTGTTGGATGAAATAGGATGTGATAGTTGGGATGAATGCCTTCACCATTATTGCGTATGGAGACTCCTTGTATGTAGTAAGTTCTACCTTCTTCAAGTTGGTAGAAGAACCTGTGCATTATTTGATGTCCAAGAATTGTTAAAGCATATGATCTCCCTATATAGACGCTTGTTTAGTTTCATGGTAAAAGTTTTTTATTAACATGCAGAAGAATGTATTGCTTGGCACATGACTATCGAAGACAATAAGGTCGATGGAAATCATGTTTCTCGACCAGCCATTGTTAGCTTGATAGACAGGAACTTCAGATCTATCTACTTTGATGCAAATGTTCCATGGGGTGTCTAAAGGATGAAGGTCACTCAAACGACAGGTGATGTTGTTGTTTATGGGTGGAGGCAAGAGCAGTTGATACAAAACTACAAGAGTAAGAAAGGAAGTATTTTGATCGACCAGAGGAAGCATTATTAATAAGGAGAGGATGGGCAGTTGAGTTGGTGAGGTTATTTAATAGAAGGTGATGCTATTGTTATTAATATTGAGGTATGTTAGTTAATTAATGAAGAGTAGAGTTGTTAAGTGATAACAAAAACAAAGGATAGGAATGTAGCATGGGAGGTAGAGTGAGAGAGTTTTTCGTAGTTCCAGTATAATATATTTAATTGAAATGTTGGAAAAGAAATTAGTTATACAGTCAAGAAAGAATAATTAAAAAAGACTATTTGCATGAGTGTTTAAAAAACATTATCTGCAAGACTTTGTATACTATAGAAAATGAAATAGATAAAATGTAGTTAATAAAAAATGAAAGTGAGATTATTATTATTTTGGAATATTGAAGAAAAATTTGAGTATTTGAACACATTATTAGTTTTATATTTTTATAAATGTTATGTTTAATTTATTTTAATAAGTATTTTTAAAATTAAATTTTAAAAGAGATTAGCTTTTTGTTTTTTTTAGATCATTTGGGTATACATTGTTACTGTTTTTAATGAAATCGTTTTTGGAGAAGAAATTAAGGTTTACAACAAAATGTACCAAGATAAAAATTCAAGTAAGGAAGAAAGTAATTTGAAATTAGTGAAATGTGGTAATTAAAACCCATGCAACTTTAAGTGTAACATAACCAACATTGCAAATTCTGTTTTTGAGAAGATAAATTAAAGAGAATAACAACTAAACAATCCGTTAGTGTATAAGTAAATTCTTGATATGAGAAAATATTTGTAAATAATGGTTTGAGCAACTATATGTTAGGGAAAATCTTTGTTTTTCTTTTGGGTTAATAAGCAAATAGGACCCTGAATTCTTGTTTGAAAATCGTCTTGGACCCTGAACTCTTAA